AGGCACATCAGCTTTGCAACATCTTCTTCGTCTTCCTCCATCCTCTACGCATTGCCACTACAAGCGCATCTTTGATTACCTTCGATAAAATTCGGCTGACGTTAGGGCATCTTCTTTGTATAAAATATGCCGGTCTTTTACCAACATGACACAAATCTAACTTCTTCCTCCCACATTGCAACCCAAATAATAAACGAATGTCACTATTTCGGATTGGCAGTCATATTCCCCTGATGTAAAATTTATTATCAATAGAGTTGTATGTCTGAATTACACGGCACACCATCGCGTCACACTTCTTATATGCAGCCGGATCCAATTTATGCACTCGGATCGCGTCAATCATGAGCCAAAACAGGGTTTTCTGTAATTGCTTGACATGACGAGCACTGAAATCGAACTCTAACACTGTTTTCATAACACCGGCAATGTTAGACCGGTACATTAGCTTCTTCATGTTGACAAAAGCTCTTCGCATAGGACGTGTACCTGTTCTGCTTGTCTTGAATGGCAATTTTGACTGTCTCCTCGCAGCTAATCGGGTTGACGTTTGAACAGAAGATCACGATGGTGGAGTTCTGCATTCTACCTTACGTGTCGCACGATGCCGGCTTCCACTTGTTGCACAACATTAACATTACCAAATTAGCACCATCAAAAAAACCTGACTACCAATAACCATACAACATAGCATTCACATACATTATTTACTAGACATAAAACACATATCACGCTTCAACATCCCCCCACAAATCAAACCCACAGAAACACAAACTGAAACTGCACTACAACACAACATTACCCTTACTAATAAAAAATGAATACAACCAACTTGCAAAATTAATTTTCAATTACCTTTGACATAGTAACAATACAAGATTCGTTAGTAACTTATTTTGTAACCCAACTGCCTACGAACTCATATTTAACCCTACATTACCACGTCACCACAACCCACATACACCGCTTCGGCACACGCCATTGCATGCTACAACCCAATGTAATTCAAGGAACTTGGAAATTTACAGTAACATTGACAAAAGCAGTGGTCCCTCACCAACATAGTAAACACACAAGATATTGGGACCATATTGGGAGTGAAATACTAACACAATGTTTCCCCATCCAAACACACTGGTCCATCGTTGACATTGACACTTCAGCATCCTCAAACAACGCAAATTACCAATTTCACCAAACCCCTTCCAGTAAATTAACATTTACATGTGAACAACACCACAATGACCATTGACTTATTACCAAGCACAACCGAATCTGCTAACCACAGCTTAGTAGTAAACAATAAGTACATCGACGCATGCAATGTTCACCTAACCCAAAACAATGCCCCATCTACAACATTGCCATTTCACCATCGGCCAAAAAAAAGAAAAAGAAAAAAAAAAAGGACTTTCCAAACACCAATTCGACTAACTTAACATTGACATAGACATCAAAATCAATCCCCACCTTCTCCCACCTTCAACACCAACACACCCAAAATCAGGGCTCCACCACAAACATTAAAAAACACACAGTTAGGCTAATCTAGTAGACAATTTTGAAAACAATGATTACCCCCAACAAATACAGTGGTCCATATACTTTTACATCACACAAAACGTGAACATGCACACACCATCAGACTAGAAATTACATACCTGCCGCCATTTTTTCTCGCGGCGATTACCGGCTCCAACGTTCTGTTAGTGTCTTATTCTACGCCAATTACTGTTCTTCATGATGTTCAGACCCAACTCTGACGCTCCCAACACCGTATTCCCACGTTTGACGGTTTCAACTAGGGTTTTACTCGGCAATGGAACTTTAATTTAGGAAATCACATCAACAACACCAATCTTAACAACAGTCTCCGTAATCACGGATTCGAAATTGCTGAAACATCGGAATCACGATCCCACTCCAAAAATTACTTCCCATATTCGCTCACAGTAGATTGACATACCGTTTCGATGTTGGCCTCTTTGGTAAATTCAACAACAAACAATGCCCGTTATTTACCCCTTACTTTAGGACACGTATTCCACAAAGCATGGGCTTTAACGTCTTTAACATTGGAATGAGATCTATTAGTGTTACAAAAAAAACTCAGGACTAAATGGTTTAACATTTACTAATTTAGGATTTATTAGTGTTTTGCCCCTAATTAATTTCATATTTGATAATCCAATACCAAATTAGATTATGTATTTATTATTATTTATTTAATAATATATTATCATATACAACCATAATGCCAGTATAAAATTTAAGGGACAATTTAAATTTTCGATTTGTTATATATTTAGCTCTACAATTTCTAATCATCATATCATATCATACATGTGTATATATATATATATATATTATTAAAAATAATATTTTTCCTATGCTTGGATGGCACATTATAAGGGCTTGTTTTTTTTAAGAGAACCATGTCGACATGAATTTTTTTAATTACATATAGAGTTCTACATAAATCTAAACCTAATTTAAATTATACTAACTTATCCATTTTATATGAATTTTATTTGACAAATATTTATTTTTCATGATAAATTGAGATAATTGACAAACTCAATACCAATTTTGCGTTTCACATTTTTTTCTTAATTTTTTCAAGGGTATTAGAATTGTTTTTTAATACTAAATTGCCTTATTTTTTTTATTTTTTATTTTACCGTGCATTATTCTATACTCAATATCAATTCTATATTATTCAATAATATCAATTTGTCGTTTAAATTTTATAGTGATTCTATATATGAAATTATATTTCATTTCCTACATTATTTTATATAATCACAACTTACAAGAGAAAAAATTTACACAACAATGATACTTTCGAAGAACCTCTAAAGTTTAGGATTTACTACTTGAGTTATTTTTTCAATTATTAAACAGTAAGTTCTTTTATATTTTGACATTATATTACAGATAATTAATCACTTCACACACTGAGATGTATTTATCAGTCGGATGTTTTCATTATATTTTCTTTTTTGGTTAAGATATTGTTATGTGATTCTTTATTGGTTAGTCGTTGTTGAATTTTTTTTATATAGTTGATATTTTAATTTAATTAACAGTGTTTATTTTACAGTCTTATAATTTATTATAATTTGATATATATCATAGAAAATCATTATATGATAATTTAACTACAACATATTTATATTTAATTTTTTAATAAATTTTATATAATTTCTATTTTTATATATTTTTAATTTCTAAATGAATATAAAATAAAATTAAATAGTTAGAATTACTTTTAATTTTATGTTACTAATTTTTATTATAATTTAACTATTATTTTTAATATCAAAATGAGTATTTATTTTACTATTTTATAATAATATATATCATACAACAATGATTGAGACCCTCTTTTTTTGGACCCCACAACCTGTTTGAATCTCAATCATTGATGGTGTGGGCCCCACACATATATGAGTGGGCCCCACACATATATTTTATAATAATATATATTATACAACAATGATTGAGACCCTCTTTTTTTTGGACCCCAAAACCTCTTTGAATCTCAAGGATTGATCGTGTGACCCCACACATATTTTATAATAATATATATCATACAACAATGATTGAGACCCTCTTTTTTTTAGATCTCACAACCTCTTTGAATCTCAACCATTGATGGTGTGGGCCCCACACATATATTGTATAATAATATATAGGGTTTGGTTATGGTGTGCAACTTACACCTTACACTTTATACCTTACACTTACACCTTACACTTACACCTTTTGTAAAAAATTAAACCTTACACTTACACCTTTTTTGAGGTTGCACACTATGTGCAACCCACTTACACCTTACACCTTACACTTATACCTTACACTTACACCTTATACTTATACTTACACCTTACACTTACACTTTTTGTGTAAGTGGCACATGGTGTGCACTTGCACACTTAAGAAAACTCCTAATATATATCATACAACAATGATTGAGACCCTCTTTTTTTAGACCCCACAACCTCTTTGAATCTCAGTCATTGATGGTGTGGGCCCCACACATATATGAGTGGATCCCATACATAAATGATTGAGATCCAAAAAGAGTTGTGGGGTTCCCGAAAAGAGAAAGTTTTAAACATTTTTTATTATTATATGATAATTACACTTTTATAATACGATAAAATTAAAATGATCAAAATACACAAATAATATAACTAAAATTAATATATATAAGTATTTAAGGAACAATTTTAAAAAATGATAGTACTAATATTATTAAAATAAATAATTAAAATCATATTTTATTTTAATTTAAAATTAAAATACTATTTTATAATACACATTGTATCATTAAATATTTATTAAAAAAATAACACATGCATTATACGATAAACTGCTAATTTCAACTATTGTCAAAATTAATCATTAAATTTTAATTTTAAAATTAAAAAAAAAAAGTCAATATAAAATTTAAAACCAACAACATGAAAAATTAGGGGTGCAACTTGGGCGGGTTCAACCCAAACAACTTGAATCTAGCCCAAATTTTTTTAGGGTTTGGACAAAATATTTTCAAATTCGGTACGGATTTGGACAAAAATTCAGAAACCCGAATTAAATTTGGACGGATTTGGGCAAAGACGTCAAACAACCCGAGTAATCCGAAACCCGAATTATATATATATATATATATAAATATTAATCTTAATTTTTTTTTCTTTTTATTTTCATTTATAAATTATAAAGACTACTATATTGGCATCTCTCTTACATTATATAAATTATTTATTTTGATGGTATTAATGATTTTTTATAAATAAAAAAAATTATAAATAGAGTTAAATTTTAATAATTTAATAATGTAATTGTAAAAAAAAAACTAAAATTCATTTATAACTCGGACAATTCAAATTTAATTCGGATTGAACTTGAAAAGACAATCTCAAATTACGATTCAAACTTAAACAGACTTAAATAGATCACAGCACAGCACAACTTAAACGGACTTGCATAACCTCCAAACCCTCCAAGCCTCCCGAGTTGCACCCTTATGAAAAACATTCGAATTAGATAACCGAAAATTTTACTAATAATAAGGCCGGGACTCTGTAGCACCCAATGACCTTAGCCTATATAAACAAACAAAGCTCTGACCCAAATCCTTCATCGCCACAAACAGCTCTCTGCGACCCCCCCTAACGCCAATCTCTCTTTCTCTCTGGAATCTCTTCTTTCTCTCCCTAAAACAATGGCCGAATCGGATAGCCGTAACGTAGTTTTCTCGGGAAAGAAGCGAGGTGGATCAGATGACGATAACATGATGATGATGATGGCGGCCAAGAAAGGATTGGTGGTAACGCTGCCACCACCGTCGTCGTCGGAAGATCCTGCGGCAGCGCTGGCCAATGCTCGCCACGAGTTTGGCGAGCACGGCGGCGTCAACATGTCTATCGAGGCCTCAGCCACATTCACCGTCATGGAGCCAGAGACCATGCGGCGGATGTTCGCCGGAGAATTAGGCCCCGATCGGGACTTCTTCATATACAGTCGCCATTTTAATCCTACGGTGCTCAATCTGGGGCGGCAGATGGCGGCGATGGAGGGCACAGAGGCGGCGTACTGCACCTCCAGCGGCATGTCCGCCATATCGTCGGTGCTTTTACAGCTCTGCAGCAGCGGCGACAACATTGTGGCGTCGAGGTCGCTCTACGGAGGAACGCACGCGCTACTCACGCATTTTTTCCCACGCGCGTGCAACATAACGACGACGTTTGTGGACCTGAGGGATATGGAGATGGTGAAGGAGGCCATCGTGGAAGGGAGGACCAAGGTGTTGTATTTCGAGGCCATGTCGAACCCGACCCTGGCGGTGGCTAACGTGCCGGAGCTGTGCAGGATAGCGCACGATAAGGGGGTCATGGTGGTGGTGGACAACACCTTCGCTCCTATGGTTCTTTCTCCGGCCCGCCTTGGTGCTGACGTCGTCCTTCACAGCATATCCAAGTTTATCAGTGGTGGGGCCGACATTATTGCAGGTACGTCTCTGTCCCAACGTTTTTGTACGGTACACGTGTCTTGATATGTTAACTGCATGAGAATCCCACACGTACGTTTGTTTTGATTTGATACGTGACAATTTTTGTGATGTTCTTTGGAACATGGCGACGATGAAGCAATTAATAGTAACAAATGTTTTAGGAAAAGACTAGAGTCCCATAAAGATAAAAGTGTACCAAAAAATTAAACTAATCGGATCCTTACATACATTAATGGTGCCGATTTAAAGGAGTAATTGTGTGATTCTATCTCAATGTTTTAATTTTAATTTTAATATCTTAATAGATTGTGAAATTATTAAATTTAAAAAATAAATTTAATTTTTGGACTAATATTGCTATTCTTTAATTTTAAAGACCTACCAACCAAAGAACAATAGGTGTTTGGGAAGAACAAAAAAATACATTTTATATATATATATATATATTTATTTGAGTCACATCAATTAATATGTACAAAAATCTCCTCTCTATTTTTCTAATCTAGGTTTCGTTTGATATGACTTAATAGGTGTTTGGCATGCACTAAAAAATATATTTTTTTGTATACATATATATATTTGAGTCACATCAATTAATATTTACAAAAATCTCCTCTCTATTTTTCTAATTACTTTCTTTATTTATATATATATATATATATTATAAAAAGTCAAAAAATACACTTATTTAGAACATTCCAAATAATTCCTAATTTTGAAAAATAAGTTAAATATTCACTTTTTGATTTTTTTTAAAAAAACATTCAAAAAAATAAAGAAATAATATGACTTAAAAAAGTTTAAAAAAACCAATAAATTAGCTTTTAATCTTGCTCCCAAAATAGGCCTAAGATACCATCATTAAATGGTGTTTATGGTCAAGTTCTCCACCATTGTTTGTTTCTTACGAAGCTACCCTCCGTACCCAGCACAAATGGCAAATGAACTGCCGTGGAACAATTTTGGTTGACAATTTGATGTGGCTAGTCTGTTTTGTGTGAATTTTTTTCACTTAATAAGAAAACGAGCTACATTTGTTTTCCTTTTATTGCTTTGGTTATATTATCTATAATTTAATTTATTAAATATAATAATACCGTAGCATGCCATCTTTCCAATTTTTCCCATCGTGTCTCTGCCTCAAAAATGAACAGGGCATTCGTACTTTAAAATAATGGTTGTGATTAATTGGTGCATCGAGTTGAAAAAATGAAGAAATCATGAAAAAAAATATTATGAAAGATTTTTCACCGTTAGATTACCCATACAAGAAAACATCACACATTAATCAAAAGATGAAAAATCTTCATGAAACATTTCACGATATATTTTTCATGATCCTAGTATTATTCTCTTAAGAAAGAATTAGCAAGAATGATGTTGTCATGCCATCTGAGTATTGATTAAATGAGAAACAAAAATCAATATTCATTTGGACATGAAAATCTCTATAGCCAAGTATCTTTCAAAATTGTCATACTTTAAGATTCTTTCCATTTGTGCACTTAGTAGTTATTTGGTACTATTTTCCTATGTTAACTTTTCACTATGTAGATGTGATGCTTGGAGTGAAAAAAAAGAAAAAAGAAAAAGAAAAAGAAAAAAGAAAATAGTTTAAATGAGGTTTTACTTTGGTTCCATAGTTTTAATTTTATTAATTTAAATTACACTTTCAATAGTATTAGAATGTGGTCCTTGGAGACGACTACATTAAAAGAGAAATAAAACTGTAATATTAAAATTAATGAAATTAGAACTAGAAAGATTAAAATGAGATCTCACTAAAACGGTATAATCAACATGGACGTAATTTACCCCAAGGTAAAATTGGTTATTATATTTACAATTTAGGTAATGGTTAAAGTCCAATAATACAAAAATAGTAGAAAATTATATGTGTCTTATATAAGATAAGATGGGGGATGATAGCAGCTAGTAATGATATTGTTTTTCAGTAGTGAGTGAGAGTGACCCACACCGTTAAGCTTTTGTGGTGAAAGTAACCATTGCAGAAACAAACGTGCACACATTATGATGAATACAAATGCAAATGCAACTTGGAAAAGTGATCATCACATAGCTGCACTGCAGACATTAAAAATAAAAAAGAGAAAGAGTAGTTCGTATGGGGTATCTGTCACCACACCATACCATACCAGATGCCCCAACCTTGGCCTACCTCCCTCATCTCAACCGTGGCATCTGTCGTCCTCCTCCTCATCATGATATATATAGTTGAAAATTACTAGTATATTATTATGGTTACTCCTTTTTTTTTCCCCACTACTTACTGCTTCATCATACATATATATGATATGGTCGTTTGCTCATGTTGTCTTCTCCTGTGTGCCTTTTTATCTGATGGCGATCAATATCTATATTAGAATATAATATAAAAATCCAACTGTCTTTTTCGGTACCCTTCTCTTCAGTATCTTTCAGGCTAACAGGTCACCCCAGCTTGATTTCTTAATAGGAACCAGGATAAGGATAGGATTATACTACCAAGGATTATCTTTTCAATGCTTTTTTATTCCCTTTTTTTCGTGTGGTTGATTGTTCTGTCCCTTGTTCTTTTTTAATTTTTAATTTTTTTGGGGTGGCGTCTGAGTTTGGTGGTGTACATGATGTTGCAGGTGCTGTTTGTGGGCCAGCAAGCCTGGTGAACTCCATGATGGACCTCCATCAAGGGGCTTTGATGCTGCTAGGCCCAACTATGAATGCCAAGGTTGCTTTTGAATTAACTGAGAGAATCCCTCACTTGGGCCTGAGAATGAAAGAGCATTGCCACCGGGCCATGGTTTATGCAACAAGGATGAAGAAAATGGGGCTCAAAGTGATCTACCCGGGCTTGGAGGAGCACCCGGACCACGCTCTCCTCAAGTCCATTGCAAACAAAGAGTATGGGTTTGGTGGGCTTTTGTGTGTGGACATGGAGACGGAGGAACGGGCCAACAGGTTGATGAACAACTTGCAGAACGTGACCCAATTTGGGTTCATGGCGGTGAGTTTGGGGTATCATGAGACACTCATGTCTTGCTCAGGTAGTAGCACTAGCAGTGAAATGAATGCAGAGGAGCAGGCACTAGCTGGGATATCGGCCGGTCTGATTAGGATGTCAATAGGGTATAGTGGGACTCTGGAGCAGAGATGGACCCAGTTTGAGAAGGCACTCTCCAGAATGCAGGATCCAAGCTTGTTCCCAAAGAATTGAAGGTTGTCTTTTTTATTACTCTTTAATAATTTGTGGTGAGATGGTTTGTTATACTTTTAAGACTTTTTTATTTTTATTATATATATTTTTTTCTTATTTTCATTTAAAAGAATGCTAAGCTAGCTGTTGTGCTTGGGATTGTTGGATAAGAAGGATTTGATGTTTGAACCACCTTTCAATAAACAACTTCTTCGTGTGGGCTTAGAAATATTCTTGTTCAAGCCAGCCCAGTTAGCTTATTGTATTACATAACAATGGTCATAAAACAAGCCTCGATTAAAAAAAAAAAAAAAGAAAAGAAAAAAGAAGAAGTAACAATGCTTGCCATATTACTAGGATTATATATTTAATTAGTTGAACAACTCTTATAGGTACACGTAATTTAATTACAGAAAAATATCATCAAATTTGTTCAAAATGGTTGATTGACATGTAGTTTATAACTACATTAACAGTGTCAAGGGGAGATGTATTTGACTCATGAAGATAAAATCAATTTACGATAATAATAACGGTAAATGCTCTATGAACTTGTTAAATCATGGAAAATGATATATATCAGCGGTAATGCAGTAAAAGCCAGGTATGAACATATATATAAATGAAATTAAATGGCTTTATAACGTACTGCAGTCACTTTTGGAAACTGAAACTACTATATATATATATTGAAGATACTAAATTCCTATTGGAAAGATGCAATTGCACCATAGCTCATATTCTGAGAGAGTGTAACAAAAGTGCAGACGGCTTGGCAAACATGAGCGTGAACCACCAGGACTCTTTGGTTTTTCTTATGCTGTGTTTGGTTGGGGGATTTAGGGAGGGCTTTGGAAAGGGAAAAAGAAAAGGTGTGTGAAACTAGGTGAAATATAGACATATTTTATTCACATTTCACATACTTTTTTCATTTCCCTTTCTAAATCTCTTCCCAAATCCCCCAACCAAATACAGCATTAATGATCCTCCCACTGAGATTGCAAATCTGCTTGTTCCAGACATCATTGGGTGGTCTTCTACTGTCTAAGGCAGCTTTGCCTCATTCTCTGTTTTTCTTTCTTATGAGTCAATATATATATATATATATATATATTACCATTGGCTGTTTGTTGTGACAGCACAGTGCTGTCACAGCATAAAGTTTTACACAAATTTAATTTTAATTATAATAACTAATTTTGTATGGACTCTATTTTAGAAATACTTATTTTTCATATATATAATTATAATTTAATTATTATAATATTTGAAAAAAATTATCTCGATATCTCACATTGCGGAAAGAAGAAAAAAGTGAATTATTTCACTTATATAAAATGAACCTTATACTCTTATTTAATATTGTAATGTTATGCCTGTTTCAGTTCAAGATAGTTTAAATTTTAAAATTAAAGTAAACATTTAAAAGTTTTAATTAATTAATTTTTATATAAGTTGTTTGATCTTTAAAATTAAAGTAACGTTTTTGGTTTGACTGATTCACTGGTTTAACCGTGATCTTAACAATTTTATCAAAATATATTGGTTATATTTGTTTGATTTGAAATAAACTAAAAATTGACCTAATTAAATATTAAATGACTGATATTGTTTGATTTGAAATAAACTAGTCTTAACAATTGTTAATTTTTATTTTACACAATCTTACATCCGAGAAAAAAAGAAAAAAAATGAGTTGTTTTACTTATATAAAGTAAACCTATGCTTCCATTAAATATTCTAGTATTGTGCATGTTTCACTTGAAGACAATTTAAATTTTAAAATAAAATTAAATTAAAATTTTTTAATTAATTAATGTTTTGTAAATTAGTTGGTCTTTTGACCGATTTTAACGATTTTATAAAAAAAGAATATTATTTTATTTCTAAAAGGTATATTTAAGTTTTATGACAAACTTTTTAACAGAAAAAAAACTAAAACTAAAAAAATTATAAAATGAAATTTATTTTTATTTTATCATAAATATAATTTTTTTTTCAAATTTATTCTATTTTTTTTTCATTTTTACCAATTAAATTATGATATCCATTTTTTCTTGTGAACTTAGAATATATAATTAATGACATAACAATTGCAAAATGATTAAAATTTAATTTATTCTAAATTAGTTTTATATATTTTTGAAATAAATTTTATCTTATTATTTAATTATTTACGGTTTATATACTAGTTATCCAATGAAATTAAAAACCAATTTAGATAGATATCGTGTTTGGTGTCGACGTATGAAGCACGGAGACGAGTACGACTAGTGATACTGATACGATATGGGTATATCGATACAGTAAAATTTAAAAAAAATAAGATATAAGTACGGCTTTAGTACGTTTGTAAAAAAATATTTATTTTTAATTTGGAATAATGTAAAAATTGATTAAATAAATTAATTTGTCAAGATCTAACCCACAATTAATATTTTATGGCAAAAGTAAAGATATAAACTAAAATTAAATGTTATTATATTGAATATTACAAATCATAACTTAATTTTAAAATCATACTAAACTTAAACCTAAAATTAAAAAATTAAAAATATAGTGAAAGGAATTTTATATCTTTTTTTTTTTTATCAGTAAAGAAAAAGGAAAATTTTATTGAAACGAGCAAGAACAAGCAACAAAATACAACAATAAAGGAGGGAAGTGCAAAAAATATCATAACTAATACTCCACAATCCCAACTTGGTTGACATAATTATCCGGAAGCACTAAACCTACAGATTGGCGAGAAATCAATTCAAAACAAAGAATAATAATAATAAAAAAAAAAAACCAACCAGCCACACAGCAACAGTAACCTTCCAAATTTGCCAACTCCTTCCCTAGCAAACTCCACCAGTAACTTATAAACAAAACACCAGCAAACTCCTAGCAACAACAACATACACTAAGTGATTAACACCCAAGGCAGCAACAAACAACACCAAAAATTGCACCATCAGCAGTAGCATCAACTATAAGAAACGGAGCTATGCATCCGAACATAAAACATACTACAAATACATCATCAATATTGCAGCAGGACCAAGTTGACTACCTGCAGAAACAAACCAGATAAACTGCCCCCTGCTGCCCTATGCACTCTATCAGATGAGCAATACAATAGAATGCCCCCCATACCCTTACAGCCAAAACCCCAACAGTTGCCTAAATTTTCATTTAGGGACACATCCCATTAATATCTGATTTGTTACAGGATGGACATAAGTTCTGCACCCTAACAAACAGCAACAACACCGGCAACCATCAAACAGTAACACAGCAACAACATCACAACCGTATCAGCAATATCACAGCAGCATCTCAGTAACAAGAACAACATCTTACCAACAAAACAACTGCATCAACAACATCTCAGTAGAAAACAGGGCCCCTGATTCGCTGCAGATTGTTAACAAGGTCAAGAACTGAATACTCACACTTAAAGTAGTGAGATCTCGACCATAAGACCAGGGGTGGAGGAAAGGAAGGACGAGGGGGGTCACGTGCCCCCCCTCAGTTTTGAGATTTACTTTTTTTATTTTTTTTTATTTTTGGGTGTGTGTGTCTTGTTGTCATATATAAAATGTATATATATTTTTCTTAAGAAAATTATATTTTTCTTAACATGTTTTTTGGTTAAGGATTTATTGTATTGTTCACGATAAGTAATTATTTGATACTTTGAAAGCACTATCTGGTATTATTTATGTAATAGTTTAAACCAATAGTATAGCGAAAAATCTTATAGATTGGATATAATGAACTCATTATTTTTAAGCAATTGACAAACTGCTTAGTGTGATTTGTGATTTCTCATACTTTGAGCATTATGTAGACAATGTTATATGGTGTTCTAAGACTGTTTAATAATTTTCATTCGAAACACATCATTTATAAGCAATGTCATCTCTTTAATATCTTTCTATCAAATAAAAATTAAATAGATTTTATAATAATTTGTGCTATAAATGATGTGTTTTTATTTTCTAAAATTAAGAATTTTGATCTATAATTTTGTGTTAAAATTACAAACTTACATCACCTTCCCGCACCGAGCTATTTTACACTATTATAGAATTTTAATTTGTTCCTATTTATAATGAAACCCAGCTCACCAACACAGCAACCCCTCAACTGAACTAGGCATTGCCCACTGGAAGCCTCACCAAATTACAATATTTGACCATAATCTCCACACCGCTGGGCACCATAGCATCACATGATTCAAAGACTCTCCTTCAGAGTTACAAAACACACAGAGAGTACTAGTATCCTCACGAATCACACCAATTCTTTGTAAAAAAATCTGATGATTTAATTCTACCCTTCCATGCTAGCCATCCAAAAAATTGTTCTTTCAGAGGAGAAATTTTTTTCCAAATAATACACAAAGGTTCATCGACAACTCCAATCTTCTGCCGATTGTATACTGAAGCCACACTAAGTTGACCTGAAGGCAGTGCTTTCCATTTAAGGCAATCATCAACATTCAACACAACAATTTGAGTTGTGTTTAAGTGTGCAATAAGTTCACCCACCTCAGCCATCTCCCATTCCCTTAAAGGCCCTCTAAGCTAAAAACTCCACTCCACATAGTTTCCCCTTTGATCTAACATCCCTCGCAATGAAACATCTTTGTTTGTAACCAAATGAAACAACCTTGGGTAAGACTCTTTGAAACATTGATTACCCATCCACTCATCAACCAAAAACCCGATTCTAGTCATATCACCAATAGCAAATTCCACATTTGAAAAATAAAATTGCTTGAGCTGGGGATTGGAAGCTGCTACACGAAGAATGTCCCTCCAAACCCTTGATACTCTGATTGAGTTATCTAGAAACGGGAACCATCTACCACCAGACATCGGGTATTTGGAACATATTACCTTTTTCTATAAGGCCTTATCTTCTTTTGCAAACCTCCTCCACCACTGAGATAGCATACAGTCATTAACATCCTTAATCCTCCTTACGCCCAGCCTGCCTTGGTTATTACTTTTAGTAATGTCTTCCCATTTCACCAAATGTAATTTCCTTTTTAAATCTGAACCTCTCCAAAGAAAAGCAGCTTGAACCTTATCAATAGCCTTTGCCACACCTTCCAACATTTTAAACAAAGACAGGTAATACACAGGCATACTTGATAGCACTGATTTAATGAGAGTTAGTCTACCACCAAACGATAGCAACTGCCTTTTCCACCCTGCTAATCTGGACTTGAAC